CAGCTAATTTTTCTATTTTTTTATAGAGACAGGGTCTCATTATGTTGCCCAGGCTGGTCTCGAATTCCTGGCCTCAAGTGATCCTCCTGTCTTGGCCTCCCAAAGTGCTGGGATTACAGGCGTGAGCTCTGCACCCAGCCCAAGAATTTTATTTTTAAAACAAAAATTTTGTGCAACTTTTTTTTTTCCTGGTGGTATCAAATACCTTTTTCTTTCTTCTTTCTTTTTTAACATTTGCTTTATTTTCTATATATCTACAATAATTCATCACAAAATCTGTCAGTAGTGTAAATAGGCTCTTTGTTCAGATTGTAATCTGTTTTCTTTTTTGGCTGTAGGAAACATCTATCTTGAGAGCTTTTCATCTCCCTGCTCCAATCTGGCCTGCTTCTCTAGGTCTGTTGCATAATTATTGTCCTGGGATCCCTGTTTGACACTATCCTGGGGAGTTCCCTTCACCTGGTTGTTGAGTTGGATCCACTGATTCCTAGATCCCCTGATCTATTCCTGGATCACTCATTTGATGGATAATTGAGAAGGGTACCTTCACCTCTTCTCTCATTGTCTTTGTGTTGGTCTTTTTTTGTGTGTGTGGACTGCTTTTACCTTGAGAGGAGTGCTATAGTCTTCTGCCATGGGGTTATAAACTAGGCTGCCAGTGTTGTAAAGACAGGTGGGGGAATGAGGCCAGGGGACCAGGGGATAGAGCTCACTATTAAGTACATAGGTTTTAGTTTAATCTCCTATTTTCAGTATGATACGCCAGTCTATAGCTGAGTCTGTCCAGGTGTCCGGAGTCACTCTATTTCAATCTTTCCACGGTAAACCTTGAGTCTTCTGTTATAATGGGAGAGCAGTAGCCTGGCTGCTCAAGAGTCAGGGAGAAAATTTGGGAGTCTGACTGCTTCTTAATACAGATTTTGAACCCACTCCCTTTTTTTTTTGTTCCACCTGTGCGTCTGCCTTCATATGTACCTGGTGCTTTTAATTCCCCAGCCTTCCTAGGGTTTTGCAACATGAAGCAGTTTGCCCCTTTCCTTCCCCATTCTTAACTCATCCTCCCTCTCTACCCCCAGACAAATTTGATCCTTCTCAGATCTGCTAAGACAGACATTTATCCATTAGCTTTCCAATTTTCACAGTTTTGTTCATATCTGTTGTCTGTTCCCATTCTCTCTGTCCTTGTGAGTTTTCACCGTTTATTTATTTATTTTTAAATCTCTTTATTCTGATATTAGTGGATTTTTGGAAGGGACCTGAGAGCAAACAGATGTGCTCAGTCAGGTCAGTCATCTTAAGCAGAAGTCTCTGCATTAGTTCTCGAACTTCATTGAAACTTCAGTCAATTGACTGCCCGTTACTTTTTCTTTATTAGGTCTTCCTATCTTTACTTCTCTCTTTATCCAATTTGGATTCGAAGGTCCGTCATTTGAGTCACTTTATTAAATATACTATCATCCCTCCCCTCTGATTTGGTGAAACTTCAGCATGGGTTTATCCAGCTGCTTTTCCTCCTGTCAGATCTAGCTGCTCTGCATCTCTTCTGAAATCTCTGGGATCTTGATGTTTTGGTTTATCCCATGTCTCACCTGCATCTTCAGACTCCTTGTCTCCCACCCCCGGATGGGATCTTGCTCTGTCACCCAGGCTGGAGTGCAGTGGCATGCACAATCATAGCTCACTGCAGCCTGGAACTCCTGGGCCCAAATAATCCTCCCACCACAGCCTCTCAAGTAGCCGGGGCTATAGGTGCATGTCACCATACCTGGCTAATTTTTAAAATTTTTTGTAGAGATAGGGTCTTGCTATGTTGCCCAGGCTAGTCCTGAACTCCTGGCCTCAAGCAGTCCTCCTGCTTCTGCCTCCCAAAGTGCTGGGATTATAGGCATGTGGGCCACGAGGCCCAGACTGTTTTGCTGAGTCCTTCCTGTCAACCTTCAGATAGCTGTAATATTTCTCATAGTAAGCAAATACCTTGGGGGGGCAAA